TTGGCACAACTATTGCTGCTGAATTTGCTTTAGTCTGCATACTAGTTGAGCGATAATCTTAAAATAAGTGTGAAGAAAAGAAACGCTTCCGACCTGGCGTAGAATAACCAATATTTAAGCTAGCCTTTTCTTTTAACGATAGTTAAAAGTTCCAGTCTGGCTCTAAAAAATTTATTATGGTTGAAAATCGCTTACTACATGAAAAACGTAAATATATTTTTTTTTGAAGTGGATGGTAATAATTTTATTCGTGTAACGTTTATATTGAATGACACTTGATCTGCAATGTCCCGCGACTATTAGCAACCTCTTGGTCAAATTCCCGAAGCCAGTCTTGAAAAATGGTTGTTAACATCCAAGCCTTAGGATTACCACGATATGTCATTTGTAAGTTATTTATGTTAACATTATTAAAGCATCGTGGTTTTTTATACTTTGATGCTTGTATGTTTGTAATCGACATAGAATATAAATTAGTGTTCCATGTCGCAATCCAAAAAAGGAAACAAAATGGTTGTAAAGGTGGTTGCAACCAGTGGTTGCAATCGCTTTTATATGACTCAAAGATGGTAGCAACCATCATCAAAAGTTGCAGCCGGTATCCTTAATATAAATGGGTTTCTATTACCAATTGTTTGACTTTTTTGGCAAAAGTACTTCATGATATAATTTTAGTATTGTTGAAGTTTAATTTTATACACCAAAAAGCTGTTAATTACGTAGAACTAAAACCTGAATGTGATTCTAATTATTTTAATTTAATGTCATAAAACAACAAATCGCGATGGGTTCAGACAAAATCCTTTATCCGAATTTTATTAGATGATTTTTTACTTTTACTTAATATGCCAACCGTGTTATTTTACATTTTCGAGTAATTCAAGGTCAAAGTGTGAAAATTGCACTTTTCAAAAACAACACAAATCACGATGGGTCTAATTAAAATCTTTTGTTTGAGTTATTTCATACCCGTAAAGCAATTTTTACTTGATGTTAATATGTAAGTCATTGAGCATTTCATGGTCGAAGTTTTACATGATGCTTTTTTTAAACAAATTTTTTTTTTATAAAATTCTAAAATTCTTGTTTGTATTGATATATAATAATACTATTTTAAATTTAAATCCAGTTATATGTAATAATATATATAGCATATATTGATTAGAATCAAAAGTTAAGTGAATTGTTCACTGATTCGTTCTAGGTACTCCAAATATTATAGAAGAAAAGCTTTACATGATGCTTTTTTTAAACAAATTTTTTTTTTATAAAATTCTAAAATTCTTGTTTGTATTGATATATAATAATACTATTTTAAATTTAAATCCAGTTATATGTAATAATATATATAGCATATATTGATTAGAATCAAAAGTTAAGTGAATTGTTCACTGATTCGTTCTAGGTACTCCAAATATTATAGAAGAAAAGCTAGTCGTAATAGTAAATTTTGAAAAACTTTACTGACAAATAAAAAAAACCCCATTTTGGATATATTAATATGTGGAAATTCGAAGTTGGGCTTTAGACATAGCACGTTTATTAGAATACTCCGAGCCGTATTTGCTCGAATTACCCGCTTGAAACAATTAAGGAAACATGCTATGTATAATTCTGGGAAATGAGTTAGTAGAAAACCAATCGAACAATAAAGCAGAAATTCAAAGAACTATTTGTTTTAAGAATTATTTGCATTCCTAGCTTGTAAAAGAGTAAACATTTCTAAATTATCTCCAATACTAATCATAATATTATTGTCTTTGATGGAATTGAGAAATTGAACAGAAATGAGGAGCATCTGACGATTGCCTGTGTGGACAAATAAAATAATGTAACTATTTATTAGTAATTTGTGGTTATGAAAGTATATAAATTAAATATCAAATTCAAATTTGAGGATAAACTCTATCTAAAAACAGTAACAATTGTAGATGCTGTAATAGAATAAACTCAATGCTGTGATGCTGGAAAGGCTTCAATACTTTGATATTAAATCTAGTTTAGAAGTATATTTTAATACGTTGGATGGAATTCCAAATTTTTTTATTGTTCATTTTATGAATTCAAAACAGAAAATCAATAATTTCTAATATTTCTAATATAAACCTTATCCTTTTCATTATTGGAACATATGTACCAAGTATATTTTTACAACAGTGTCCGTTTATTTATGAAAGATAAAATTAAAAGATATACTTGTCCAAAGCAATATATTAGTAGTACAGGTGTGGCGTTATAAATTTGTACCACAGAATAATTTCACTGGTATATATTAATATGTATTCTTTCATCTGCTAAAAGTTTCAAGCTTACTGGATTGCTTTAGATAATTATCTCACCAATGAAGTCAAGGCTGTTATTAAACGGAAGGCATTCTTGAAGATAATTTTAATAATAATCTTTTCTTTTGAATTAATTATAACTGATTGATTTAACGATGGGTTTTGTTCTTTGAAATTTTGTTGATAGTCCACACATTTATGACGCTAAAGCTGGTCATTAATTCTTGATTTTTCAGAATACAGCTTTTGATAAAATTGTGGCTTACAAGCTTATAATAATTAAATTTAATTAATTAATTTTATCGTTATTTTAGTTGGATTTTCTATTCTAATTGTACACTGATTGATTTGTTCACTCATACGGTAAATGATGACAGTTCTAATTCCAATAATGCTATCTATCACCCAATGTAAAAGTAATTTTCATTCTCTCACTTTATAATCGTATCACATGTGAATCATCTATTACTATCCATCATCATCTTTAAATACTTTTTAGATGATCAACAAACGATTTTTTTGATTGTTACGTACTATATAGCCGCCGGCTATGTAGAAATATTACATAATTGATAACAATTTTTTTCTCTGTTTGACAAAATAATAAACCAACCAATTAATTTATTTGTAATACCGTGATTAATCTGCAATCGTGTGACGTAATTAGTGAATGCTTGCCATATAAATAGGTTGAGAATTTTCGCAACTCTCTTTCTCAAAAATCGAATCTATAACACGAAAAATCCGAAACCCAAAATTTTAAAAAAAAATCAATTTAAATATTAATTAATTAATTAATTAAAATTTAATTATAATCAATTATACATATACAAAATCATTAGAAATATGGCATCAAAGTTACCATTAGATGTTCTCCAAATAATATTCACATTCATTCGTAAAAGTGAAAAAAAGAAACTTAAAGCTATAGGAAATTTGCATTCTTGTCTATTAGTCAACCGACAATGGTGTGAAGCAACAATACCATTATTATGGCGTAATTCATTTTATTATTTCGAAAAAGGCAATGAAAAACTAATTGACGTTTACATATCATGTTTTAATGAAAAGGAACGTACGGAATTGGAAGAACAAGGCATAAAATTATCATTTACAAATATAAAAAACTCTCTTCCTACGCCTACTTCACCACCGCCATCACCACCACTATCATTGTCATCATCACGTTCTTCATCTTCTTCTCATAATCATCATAATTGTTGTCATCAAACGATACAAACGGAACAACTACAACGACCAAGTTTTGATTATGCAAAGATGTTGAAAAGATTAGATTATGATAATTTTTGTCATTCAGTGGATAATTGGTGTGGTAAATTGATAAAACCACCATACAATGTAATTTCATTAATGATCAAAGCTCTGTTAAGATTGTTTTTGACTCATTCAGCTGTTTTAATACATTTGGTGATTGGTGAATGGACTTCGAGGAAATCTTCTGATTTTATATATTTAAAATTTACTGAGAAAGAATTCGAGTATTTGTTTGAACCTATAAGAAAATTAGAAATTCAAGGTGAATTTGTTAAAGACCGTTTATTGACGGGCTTGAAAGAACCATGTAAAAATATTGTAAGTATTTTTTTTTTATACACAAGACATGCATCTATTATATTATTATCTAAAGTTTATGAATTTATTTAGGAAAAATTATTTGTATATATAAAAGATGTTCCACCAAACTATGAGGAGGAATTGCACTCATTACAACAATTTGTCAAAGAACAACATTGTTTAAAATCATTAAAAGTAGCCAATGTTGCATCGAATTTTCTTTTTCCAACAATAGCCACACAAGCCAATACTTTACGTTGTTTATATTTGTGGGGATTAAATTTCACAAACACGGACGATTACATAATACCATGGCATTTATTATTAAGGTTTAAAAATTTAGAAAAATTAAAATTTCGTAATTGTATTGGATTTGATCAACACATGAAAGATTCATTAATCAATGGTGACGTCAAAGAAATGGTGGTGGTTGAGAGGGATAAGAGTGGGAATATAAATGAAAATTTGATTGTGAATAGGAGTGGGAGTGAATATTATAATAAAAGTATTATAAATAGGATGGATATATCCAATAATAATAAAATTTATAATAATTATTATTGTTGCAATGGTAGTGGATATAATTATAACAATCATGATGATGTTAATAATCAACAAGTTTTTAAAAATTTAAAAATGATTGCAATAGTCGGACAATGTAAAACGTTGAATAATGAATATATATTTGAAGATGATATTAAAGAATTAATTGATTGGGGTGTTGGACAAGGTGCTGTTGTATTTCTTGGACACTTTTATAGTGCAGATGCATTTTTTAAAGTTGGTAGAACAATAGAAAGCAAGTATAACAGTTGATTGAATTTATTGATTTATTAATTAATTGGAATAATATTGATTTTTAAATTTTTTTTTTTAGAATCTTTACTAATTTGGGAGTGCTCTGATGATTTCTCCAAGATGTATAGAAAATTTTTATGTAATATAGCTCATTGGTCATGATATTATGTTACACACAGATACATAGATGTATATATTAATTTTTTTTATAATAAAAGAAAGGACTTTATAATAATAAATGCAAATTTATTAATCACCTTTGTGGTTATTTCTCAATAAAAATTGATGGAATGCATGTAACTTTTTTATGAATGGCCATTACTATATACTTCAATTCAAAGGTATTTATATATAATTTTGTACTTTAAAAGATGAAGACTATTATAGTAATAACAGAAAAAATAAAATGTCAAAATAATCACAATTGTGACTTTCATTATGGAATTTATAATGATTTCATCAAGAATGGTAAAAAATCACTCCCTTTCCAATTAATACTTTATTTGGGGGATGTGTATGGTCATTGGGTTCAGAAATTGCAACTGGTGGGAGTTAAAAGAGTTATTACAATTATAATTAATCATAATAATAAATTTTCAAATTTTCTTTTTCATGATATACTGTTGCAAGATAATCGGTTTGTATTGAAAGTTGATCATCTTTACCCAACTTTTAAATGTTTCTCTTCCTTCTCCACTATTATTATTATTGGAACTTCTAACAGGCCAAACTTTTATTATAGCAGTTTGATTATTAAAAAACACTTTGGAGTTGATTTGATTTTTGATCAAAATAATTTTTAATTCTATTTACATATCCTTCACACTTGATTCCTTTAATTTTCATCACATAGACTTTCACTTCTTCTTCTGCTTGTTCTTGTATATTTTCTTGACTTGCTTGATTTTTTCCTAATCCTAATCCCGATCCTCCTCCTTCAAACATTCCTAATCCTAATCCTTCTCCTAATCCTAATCTTACTACTCCTCCTAATTTCCCTCCATCCACAAATTTGCCTTGATTATATAATGAAACTAATTCTGGTAAAAACGTTAAAAATATTACAATAGATAGTAATTTAAAGGTTCTTTACTTTGATCTTAATCCATATTTATAAACAAACTAGTTATAAATATTGCACTCATTCCTAAAAATATTGATCTGTTAACACATCCTATCAAAAACAAATTTAAAATCAATTGAATCAAACAACAACTTGACCCTAACAATCCGTTAATTATTGCAAATATATATTGATTATTGATAAGAGTTGATGCTAATGTAATAATGAATATTTTTCGTCATTGTATATTGTATATCCCCACCCAAAAAAGAAAATTTTATTAATAAATATTTTTTTCCCGAAAAGTTCGATAGAGATCTACAGTGACATTTCAGTGTTTTAGCATTAGGCGATCGATATATAAATTTTATTAATTAGCCACAAACCCTTAATTTTACTCCTAGAAAACACCTCAAAACTATCTCTTTTTTGGCCATTACAGCTTATGCTCCTGTTTACATTTTTTCCTGTGTACAGTCACAGCGGATTCCTTGTTACAACAGATTTAAATATCGGCATTGAGCCCCTTTTTTTATTAATTAAAAATGTTTGTCATTACGAATTTTATTAATAAATTTGTTCCACAACGTTAACGAATTTTTGATGGGGTCCTTCTATATGGCTACTAGTCTCATCACAGCGGATTCACGTGACATGTAAATTATGAAATATCCAAATTACTATATAAAAATATATTAATAAACTGATAGATTATTTATTTGAATGTGTGCAAATAACAAAATTTTTCCAAGTTTCTAAAATAAAACATTTGATAATAAAGTCAATTAGATTATAAAGAATTTAAATCATTGAAAAGAAAAATGGAAAAAACTAATACAACCAAATATCATAACAAATAATTTAAATTTTTTGCCGATCATCAATTTTGCCACAGTGGATTTCTTGTCACAACGGATTTTTTTGGCTGGTACTATCAATCCACTGTGACGAGGTTTGACTATATTGGGTTAAATAAATTATCAAATTCCTATATATCATTATTTTTTCTTTGCCACATAAAGCTATTTTGCTTTACATAGAGAGACTCAATCAATATGAGAGAAGTTTCAATTCCAGACCTGCGAAACCTCTGGTGTAACATTTTTGTGTACTGCCCCAATGTTTGGGGGGATAATCTACAAATATTTTATCTTGATATATTTTAATGTAACGGTTGCACCATTCATTGTGCAATGTTACACCTCATATTCATATTTCTATTTATATATTTATGTATTACTTATGGCATCGAAACATTGGAAGGTTGGAAGGCTTGTACATCATCAATAAATATTGTCCAATCAAAAATTACTCACGTGATAAAGTAAGGGCCAATAATTGCATTGGAAGATGATTTTTAACTTGTGGTCTTTTGTTTGTAAAAGTATGTTTATGTAATTTTTCTGTGTCTAATCTTTCATAGCAGTCAATGCAAAACAGCATATGCATTGCATTTATTTTGTTTGTCTATACTTTAATATATCTTGTCAGATGATGATTTTTTGGCTTTATCATAATTAGTTGTGATGGGAATTTGAGAAAAAAATAAACTAATTAATTATTTTTATGGAATTTTTATTTTCCCTAGTTTAACTGCATATCAATTCAATGTTGCACATATATATTTTTTACATTCATCTTTTCACACTTCCCAAAAAAATTAGTTTAGTAAAATCCATGAATAAAGACTTTTCTGCAATCAACAATTATTATATAGCAATAATCAATTGATAGTAAATACCTTTAATCCATTTTGAAAAACAGTTAAAAAAAAAATGATAAAAAACAATTGGATAAAATTTTAGTTGGCTGAAAATTAAATTTTAATTTTTAATTCTTGAATTTATTGACTGAAATGTTTCAAAGTCCGATTCCAATGCCTGTTGGAAGGCTTATGACTTCCAAACCTTCAAATGAACATCATTGCTTATCAAACCTGTATAGATATTAGTAAATGTTACAATTGTATTATTTATAGGTTTAACTTATACCATTGGGTAATAGTACAGATCACATTACTTGTAATACTCCAAGGAGTATTAGAATTTGCTTGAGTGGAAAGTAACTAGTTCAGTAACAAATTTCTTGACAAATAACAATTGACTAATAAACATATTTAATTTGTGATATGTGATAGAAGTAGATAAAAACCTATATGTCAATCTGGGGCAAAAATCAACAAATTGAAATACTTCTCTCCAATATAACATGACAAACATCAGGAAATTTTTCTGCTGCAATATTACGTCAGTAAATTTTAATATGTAAAGTTGTAATATTTGCATAAAAATTATGTAATATTTACACTCAATGTAATAATTGCATAATTTTTGTATGCTTATTTGCATAATATTACGGGCCTGCTGTAAACTTACGTAAATAGTGTAATAATTATGTAAATCCACGTCAGAAAAATTTCCTGATGAAAATATTCCACAAACAAAAAATGATATGATTTTTAGATACATTAGAACCATAAAATTGCTTCACTTAAAAAAAAATTTTTTTATTTAATAAAAAAAACAAATTTTACTATTGGGTATCTCTGGATTTTTGAAGTAAAAAAATTTTTTTTGTGTAATTTGTGATACAAATTTAGGACTTATCTACTGTTTCAACCAATCAACTAACAGATTCGTCAACCTAATTTTCAACACTGGGAATACTTGGATTTACAAAATGAGACTTTTTATTAGTAAATATTAACCCCATTTTTTATTATTAAAAAGTGTGTTAATCATCTACTTCTATCATATATCACAAATTAATATATTTATGATTATAATTCCCCTTACTGAATTGAAGGTATCACTTGTTTAATTAATAATTGCTGTGGTGGCAATCCCATTATGAAGTACTTAAAGCCTGTTGAGTGATTAATCATTTGGCCAACATTTATCACTAGCATATAATTATTTTATTTAGTTAGAAACTATACTGGACTGTGTGCCTGCAACAATATAGTAGAAAAATCTTTACTGTGTGTCAGTAAAGTAAACATATGTGTGGCAATGGTAAAGTGATTCAGTGTTAAAGTATAAAAATATCAGACATTATAAAAATAATGAGTTATTTTAAAAAATACTGGTTATATGGATCAGAATTTCAATTTTACATATGAATGATCAACTGATGTGACAAACTAAGGAATCAAGGTCGATTTTTTACAATTATACTTGCCACCCAAAGTATAGTCCAATCCCAAATCCCAACTCCACTGAATAGTACAAGACACATTCCAAATTTGTACCTAAATGTGTCATCCAATTCATGAAATTCAAGGGGTTGGGTGGGTACTAAGGTTGTGGCCGAAACCTCTTAATGACTGTCGAAACTCTGTCGAAACTCTAATGAACAATTAATGTGTAACCTGCCCAACC